ATGTGAAACTAAAAAAATGTCAATCTATTTCATAACTTTCTTCGCAGTGATCTCTCATACCACTGATGATGAAACCGTTACTCTAGATTTCATTCGATCACACTTAGTAGCCCCGATTTTGTTCTTTTTATTGTTGGTTGTTAATGTTGATGATAGTGATAGGAGTAAAACTATCTTAGTTGGTGGGTGGCTTCAAAGAGTTAATTTAAAAATTTAGCGCAAAATCGGCATTCATAGGTATGCGCTTCATCTATTGAAAACACTTTTTCCTAACTAGAATGAAATCGCTGTCTCTCGACGCGCCTCTCGATAACCAAGATGGGAGAGATGACTTAGACTTGTAGTCTTATTGTTTTCAATATACATATTTATTTCAAATTTCACATTCTTCATCAATATGAAGTTTCAATTGAATAATATCATCTGGCAACAAGTGAGGCTGGGAAGCATTTTGTGGTCCCTATAATTTACTAACTGATAATAAGGTAGTGATCCTCTATTGAATACCATGCTCATGAAACGTTGCTTATAGACATTCTATCTTTGTGGTTTTATTTGCAAAATTAGTATGTACTTATCACCTAGTAGCGTTCAAAAAGTTAATGACGTCGGTATTAACTACTAAATTGTTAAAGATTATATTGTGAGAGATGACATTTTGAGTAATTCAATCTGATGAATCTTGAACAGCATACATTTCACAGAATCGATTCCTTTCACTGCCGAGCCTACATACATATATTTTTCAGGGCAGAACAATGAGCCACGAGGACATTAGAGGACAAGTCCTAGACCTGATGAATCAAAAGAACCAGATTGAAAACGAAATAAGGAACCTGACCTCGATACTTGAACAGAATGGCGTTGGAATGAACGATCCTCTTGTAGATTCCGAAGGATTCCCAATCAATTCCATTGATATATACCAAGTGAGGAACGCAAGACATCGCATCATATGCCTTCAAAACGATCACAAGAATATCATGAATCAAATAGAAAATGGCTTGCACGGTTACTATTCGAACTCGGCTACGACGGGCACGTGCCAGGCGATACCGATGGATACCGACGTTTCGAACGTTGTTTTGAAGACTCCTTTTGCCAAGGTCACTGTTGTGAGCGAAGGGTCACCAGCCGATTATGCTGGGATAAAAGCAAATGACGAAGTCGTTGAATTTGGATCAGTAAATGCTAATAACTTCAAAAGCATCACTGATATCGCCACCGTTGTACAACACTCCGATGGAACGCAGGTTAACGTCAAACTGAAAAGGGGGGATAGGTTTTTGACCGTACAGTTAACTCCGAAAAAATGGAGGGGAAGGGGATTATTAGGATGTAACATTGTGTCACTGTGAATTGTTGTTGTATTTTTTGTTCCAAATAACTGTTTAATAAAGGTTATGTGAAAACGGAGTTCTTCCTATAAATTACAGTATTACCTCTGTTTTACGGAATACTAGAAGTTAACCAAGTGAATATCAATTATATCAAAATCGTGGAGAAAATTTACCTAGAGGGTGTTTGTTAAATAAGTATGTACCATAAATTCAACAGACGATTCTTTAGGTAATTTTAAGACGAAATTTTCATATAAACATGGGTCCGCAAATCCTTCGTTCTCAAGATAAAGGGTGTTGAAATAAAAATAAAAAAAAAAGTTATTCGTAAATATCTTGAATATCCTTTACCTAATTTTGTTGTAATTTGGGAATGGTATTTATAACATTAAGGAGCTAATTTAGCCCGAACGTGATTCAATTTATTAAGTCCAGTTGCGTCTCGAGCGGGATTTGAACGAATATTTTTGACTTAAAAATGTACGCCACTGACTTTTGTGCAATTTTTATTATTGCTTTGGATTAAGCAATTAGAAATACAACTTTTTTGTCTCTTGATTTTTGTTCGTATCTTGCTTAGTTTTGAAGAAAAAAAGTCGACCTAATTGCCTGGACCTCACAAGGAATAATATGAGGCATTAAATGTTTCTTTTGGAAATTATTATTTTTACAATTATTCATTACTAATTATGTAACAATAACAACAAATATTAAATAACATTAACATCTAGACTAACGAATTAAACTAAATTAAGTGTTGGAAATGGCCTCCTTCGGCTTCAATACAAGCGTCTAGTCGCCGCATCATTGAATTTCGCACTCTTCTGAAAATACCATAAATAATAATCAAAGGTTGCCTTGGAAAACGATTGCAGCATTTAATGAACAACTTGACAGCTGTCAACTTTATAAGCTTTTAATTTATATTTGTTATAAAAAGTGTGTTTAGTGGTTATTTTTCGAACCATTTTTGTAAAACATGGTTCAATTTACTAACAGTGAAATGGCAGATATGCATTTTTGTTATGGAATGGCTCACAGAAACTCGAATGCTGCAAGACGCATTTACCATGAAAGATTTCCTCAGCGTGTAGTGCCTAATAGAAGAACTTTTGTACGTCTCCATGCACGACTTTCTGAAACAGGCAGNACAAAAATTTCAAAGGAATTGGTGTCAAGTGAAGACAGGAAGAAAATAGCAATGAGACAATAATTATAGTGAACAAAGTTACCCTCATTATTCAGAAACGGTGCACGTGATCACATTTTTATTATTATTTGTTATGAAGACTAATGATAATTCACTTCGATTTTGCCTAGCAATTGCTCATTATAAATATTCATTAATGCGTGTATCTGTCTATCTGGAAAATTCACATACCCATTACCAACACATTCAAGGCTATAATATGCAGTTGGTAACTGTCTGATGAGTTTAGAAGTGAAAAGCGCATTCTCCTCACCGTGATAGAAACAAAAATTTCAATTGTTATGTGAAATTAGACAAATTACCCCTGCGGCGACAGTAACCCCACCTTATGGTGTTACATCTCCAACATTTGAGAATATATTTTTTTTAAGTATTTAAATAATTTTTTAAAGAAAAAGGTTG